CCGTGTTACTCTCGTTCACAGTCCGTTCGAATCGTGCCAGTGTCGTTTCAAGAACGCTCCTTGTATCCATCCAGCTTCGCAGCTCCACTCGTTTCCCGTTCTTGTAGATGCACGCCTTCCTGTTGACCCAGTCGATCTCGGGGTTGAACCGCTTCAGGAAATCTCGCCCCAAGATGAAATCTAAACCCTTGATGTTCGTGATCGGCAATGTCGGCTTCCACCTCAGCGCCCCTATGTGCAGCTGCAGTGATGCTTCGCTGTGGATGGGAAGTTTCGTACCGTCCACCATTGTTGCCATGAACTTGGTCTCCTCCGAAGGTTCTCCAATTTTCTCCAACGTCCTGCGGTCGCACACCGAGTGAGATGCACCGCTGTCCACCAGTGCCTGGAGGCGTCACCCGTTGCAGATCACCTCGAGTAGTAGTGGTTGTTGCTGCTCCGAGTAACCGTAGATGGTCTCGCTTACATGATCGTAGGGTATGTCGAATAGATCATCCCTCGGTTCTGCGCTCGAAGCTGCTGACTCCATATCAGTTTCCAACTGAGCAGGGTTAGAAGGATTTATCCGAGGCCGATTCAGCTTCGTCTTGGCGTGGAACCTTCCCTTAAGCCTTTGCAGCTGTGTAGGCTTCTCCTGTGGGCAATGGGGAGCCTTAACACTATGCTGCGGGGAGAGAATAGTAACTCCTTGGAACGCACGACCCTTTTCAACGCTCCGGAGTGGTTTGCCCAACTTCTCAGGTACCTGAATAATGTCCGAAGGCTTTTTCATGGCCTCAAAATCTCCCCTGAATTTTTTAAAGGCTTGAAAACCTCGAGAGGGAATATTCTTACTCTCGGGGGTGTTCGGGCTGGAGTTTCCCGGTCGGTGCAGAGTCTTGTTTCGCGGAGCCTCCATTTGTCTCGGCGATTTCCCCTGTTGCTGGCCGGTCGTGGCATTTTAAATTCGCACCATCATGTCCTCCTTTTTTCGCCATCGTGGATGTCGCACTGTTGTTGCCCTGCAGCTCCGCTCGTGCCTTCTTCATTTTCCAACACGCCAAGAATCGATGTCCTGCTGCGCCGCAAAATTCGCACTTCTCATATTTTGTCGGCTTCTGCTTCGCGTCGATCTTGTCGATATCCATTGGGTCGGCGGTCGTGGGTGGTGCCGATCACTTCGTGCCAAATGATCGGTTCGGCACGTGGCGTCGTGTCTCGGGCTCACATCGCATTAGCGTATCGAATCTCTCTGCTGCACACACCATGTCGCGGTAGTTGTTGTAGTTTGCAGCAATCACCTGTCGGCGGACTTCCATCTTTAGCCCCTCAGTATACGCTTGGATTTTTTCCCCTTCGGTCAGGTCGGTAATTCGGTTGAAGAGGCTCTCCATCTGCTGCGTCTACTGTGTTACACTGCCGAACTGTTTATGCCGATGAATCTGCTGCCGCGCCATGTAGCTGGAGTTGATTGGTTCGAAATGTTGAATTAAAGCTTCCCGAAACTGCGTCCATGACCCCTCGCCTTAGATCTTATTGCTGTTGTAAATCCACTCGAGCGCTGGGCCTCGTAACAGTGTCGCTGCGAGCCGAATCCGCATTGCATCGTGTGTCGGGGTCGTACAGCCAACGGCCTCGAAGTAAATTTCGAGAGTCGCAATGAATCGACGAACGTCAGTGTCTCTCGCATTCGGATTGAACGTCTCCGGTAGCCTCGGACGTGCCGCCTCAAGATGTCAGAATAGTATGCTCTAGCCTGTAGTGGGGTGCTCTATAGCGAGTACAACCCTTCTAGGGTTTGCTATTTGTATCCTCATTCTTGCTAGTGCAATCCTCTTCTTTCTTCTAAACTTTCACACAAGATTCACTGTAGCCGCTGCCGCTGCTGGTGGGTTAAGTGTCGGTGTCGCCGCTGCTGCTGCTGACGTCGCTGCTAAATTCGCCGCTGCGTTCGCTGGTGCTATGGCGGCTGCCGTCTGGTTCACGAGAAGCTCCTCTATTCGCTGGAGTGCTGCTCGCGTCTGGTCCAGGCCGGTGTGTAACTCCGTAATTTTCCGTACGGAATTATCACCGTTTTCCTCCATTTGGCGATTTAAGATTTGCGACGAAAATATATGAATTTTAGGCGCTGGTCATCTTACTGTGAGTCGAGTTGACTGCAGAAATGACGAGGGCTGATTCTGTAGGTTGCGTTTTTCTCCCTTAGTCGAAATTCGCGTCTGATCTCGGCCGTTGAGAAGAATTCGATCCGACGCTTCAAATTCCAACTTTTTTGGGCGAAATTCTCGAGGCCGTTGAGATTCGAATCGATCTGACGGTCGAAATTCCAACTTTTTCGCCACTGGACCTGAGGAGTGTTCGAAAACCGGTTCGAGGGGGACGTTAGAAAATAGCGCGGAACTGGTTTACGTACCCGAAATCGGCGCTTTCCGTCGTCGCCCCCGCGGTTTTAAAAGCTAGGTTTTAGCGGTCGAAAAACTTTGCGTGCAAACAGGCTCTGATTACCAAGTGTGAGGATCTAGGATCGAGCTCAGAAAAGAGAATGTGAATTGAATAGAATTGAATGATCACCTGGGTACAACACGAGGCTATATATAGGCTCGACACAAGGCCCTGTAACCAGGTGTTACGCGAAGGTTCCGCGGGTCGCGAAGCGTCCCGAACAGATCCTTCCCGAATTCGGTAGAAGGCAATTCGGTGGCAACCGAAAAGCCAGAATTCGGTGCACGCAACCTAGCTCAGTGCTATAACTATTATAAAATATAGGAAAGCACCTAGCCTAGGAAATCAAGCAATTCATGCATGCATATAATTATCCTATGCTAGAAATAGCATAATAAAGTAAAGGCAAGCAAGCATAGCTGGCATAAGCCGTCGTACTCTCACAGCCGCCCTCCTGGCTTCACTTGGTCATTCCCTCCTGGTACCCAGTGGAGCCTCCGGCGGCCGGTCTACGGTCTCCGCCAGGTGCCACTTGAGTGGCACGACACACTGACGACTACACTTGCGGCTCTTGGGTTTGCTCCTTCGACTGCTGACCCGTCGCTGTTTCTACGCACCGACACTTCGCTGCCGCCGTTCTACATCCTCGTGTACGTCGACGACTTGGTCTTTGCTACTGCTGACACTGAGGCTCTCGCCCTGGTGAAGTCGGAGCTGCAGAAGAGACACACGTGCACAGACCTGGGTGAGCTGCGCAGTTACCTTGGCTTGCAGATCACCCGGGACAGAGCACGCCGCACCATCACACTGACTCAGTCACACATGGTGCAGCAGGTCCTTCAGCGCTTCGGCTTCACTTGGTCCTCGGCACATGCCACTCCTCTGGCTACAGGTCACTCGCTCTCAGCTCCACCTTCGGACGAGTCCATAGAGTCGAGTGGTCCTTACCCAGAGCTAGTTGGCTGCCTCATGTACGTGATGACTTGCACTCGTCCTGACCTCGCGTACCCTCTTGGCCTTCTGGCTCGCTACGTGGCTCCTGGTCGGCACCGACCAGAGCACATGGTTGCTGCTAAGAGGGTACTGCGCTACTTGTGCAGTACATCAGGCATGGGGCTCATGCTTGGAGGGAGGAGCTCAGTTGTTCTCACTGGGCGCTCAGACGCTTCTTGGGTTGACGAGCAGGCTATTCAGTGGTCGTCACAGGGTTACACCTTCAGCCTTGGTTCTGGTTCAGTTTCTTGGCGTTCTACACGCTCGTCTTCAGTTCTCAGCTCCAGTTGTGAGTCTGAGATCTACGCCACAGCCATGGCTGCACAGGAGTTACGCTGGCTCACCTACCTGCTGACCGACTTGGGAGAGCGGCCTCGTTCTCCTCCAGTGCTGTACGTCGACAACAAGGCTGCCATTGCCTTGTGTGAGGAGCACAGACTGGAGCACAGAACGAAGCACATCGCTCTGCGTTACTTCCTGGCTTGAGAGTTGCAGCAGCGTGGTCAGCTTCGTCTGCGTTACGTGGCCACTCGGGCCAACACTGCTGATATATTCACCAAGGCACTTCAGTCTGGTGATCATCAGCGTTTCTGCATTTTGCTGGGGCTTGTGCCCACTCTTCCTCACTTGCTGTAGACCTTGTTTGTACTGTGATCTATATATATATATACCTGCATGCTTGCTTTGCTTTTCTTGACTGGTCTTGTGACCTCTTGCTCTCCCCCACTTTGCCTATGGGGGTGTGTCAAACATATGTTTATATCATATTTGTGGGTAGGCTGTAGTGGGGTAGATTATGTGGGGTATAACCCCTTAGGGTTTTCCCTTGTACTCAATTATTTCGGTAGTGCAACTCACCCATGCCTAACTTCTAAGACAGTCATCTTGCGCGTCACACGCACCAACATCGCCAGGCCTGCAATAGATCCTGGGTGGTATCTGTGGAGGACGCGGAGGGTTACGTATTCCTCCGCCCCCCCAATAAATGCCACAACTGTAGGTACAACGCCAGCATGACATCACATACTAGGGCAAGATAAAGCAAACAGAGCACAACTATAGCCACTACACACGCATGATCTACGCACAATGGCGAAGCCTAGGGCCATCCCCTTCATCCTACGCCTACTCGTCGCCTGGGTCACCTACTACTATACTATCTTTTACGAAAATGTAGCCAAGTCCTTCGTCGGCATGATTGAGGCCGGTGTGTTCGAAGACGCGGACGAGCAGCCCAATGATAAATACGTTTGGCGACAAACACGTGTGGCCCAGCTTTCAGACACCTGGCAGCATATGCTGTACATACGCGTCACAATCGATTCGGACACTTTCTTTGAGAAAGTGTCCACAGCGGAATGTACCCTAAGAATGCTGCAGTGCAGACGCAGTGGCCCTGAGCGTTGTTCAGCACTTCCACTGCAGCCAATCACAATTCATTTCTGATTTTCCAACACAGTAATCAACCAACCACTCATTCACTGCCAATCACCACACATAAAAACATGTGAATAAAGGTGGCACGAGAATGTTGCGACCACCCAGAAAGAGGCTGAAGACGTTAAATACCAAACAACACTTACTCTTCAATTCCTAGCATTGACCAGACGAAGCAGGAGCTGATGCTGTTGCGCCAGCTGGCGCTGCAACTCTGCGGTCTGCTCTTCCAATCGGAGGTCCCGCTTGGTGAGCTGCCGCTGCAGGTTGCGAAGAGCCCGGCGCTGCATCTGCACCTCCCCTTGCAGCTCCGCCAGCCCTTCCGACGACACCGTCGTGCTCTTCTCGATCCGAAACACCTCCTCCTGGAAAAACCAAAGCAACAGACCGGTTACAGATATTGTTGCATTTTGTGCTCCAAGTACAGGGTATTTACATACATTAAACAGAACACAATATGGGTGTACAATACAGTGAGCGCACCTTCATGAGCTCGAGGTCTTCATCCCTGTCGGTGCCTTGCCCTGGAGTGCGCACCACTGACCCCATCTCTTCCCCAAACTGTGCCAGAATAATCTCTGTCATCCTCTCTGGCTTGATGCCTGGCCCTTGCTCCGTCTTCTCCTGCCCATGCAAGAAAGAAAAAGAAAACAAGAAAGACGGTGAACATCAGACAAAGCTCTTCACAAACCCGTGATCAGGTGCCAAGGCCTCACTGGTAATGAGCGGTCAGCTCTCCACCCCCCCTCACCACTTACCGAGTCGAGAACGAGCAACAAGAATCAATGCAGAGAAACAGCTACTGAGTTGAGAACTCCTGTAAGGCACCCAACCAACGCCCCACCTCCCCCTGAAAGCCACCCACCATGCACCCCTACCTCCCTTCACCACCCACCGTATCGCCCTTGAGCATCGAGAAGCGGCGGGAAGAAGAGCCCGCAGGGCAGCGCTGCAGGCGGCGCTCGAGCACCCTTGATAGGTTATCGGCCGTGTAGCTCCGGGAGTTGACTCGGAAGACCCGGCGCGTGCGGGTGAGGTCCGGCTGCGGGCAGGCTCTCGGGAAGCTGAAGCAGCTGTCGAGATCGCTGAAGCTGCCCCGGATGACCCGCATGGAGTGGGCAAAGGAGGAGAGCTGTTGAGGGGGGGGAGGGGGGGTGGAAAGAACAGACAAGCGAGTGGAGATATTGAAATGGGAAGCTGAAGCAGCTGTCGAGATCACTGAAGCTGCCCCGGATGACCCGCATGGAGTGGGCAAAGGAGGAGAGCTGTTGAGGGGGGGGAGGGGGGGTGGAAAGAACAGACAAGCAAGTGGAGATATTGAAATGGGAAGCTGAAGCAGCTGTCGAGATCACTGAAGCTGCCCCGGATGACCCGCATGGAGTGGGCAAAGGAGGAGAGCTGTGGGGGGGGTGGAGGGGGAAACAGGCAGGCGGAAGGAGTAACTGTTTGAACCTTTCAAGCTAGAAGTGACCTAGAGGTGACTTTGAGGTTTGAAGCTGCAGCTGAAGCAGCTGTCCAGGTCGCTGAAGCTGCCTCGGATGACCCTTGTGGAGTTGGCATAGGTGGAGAGCGGTGGGGGGGAGTGCGAATACGCAGGAGGAAGGAGAAGGTGATAAGTCGACTCGGAAGTGACAGCAGGCGTTAGGAAATGAGAGAAGAGAATGGGTACAAGCAGGTGAGGCTGAGCCTTGCCTCACGACACACGCATGGCTGACGAGTACAGCCTGGCGTGCAAGACACAGGGCAAATGCACCAATGCAAATACCAACAATATGAGCACCAGCAGCAACACCAAGAGCACTTGTCAAAGGTGCTCGCAACGCAACATGAACTCACATGCACGGTCTCGTCCTCTGCCCCCAGAGCGAGCAGGTGCCTCTGCAGGCGCCCGGGCTTCCAGTAGCGCGTGGAGCAGCGGATGGCGTAGCTGCGGAACACACGCCACATGTCCAGGAAGAAAGACGGCGAGTCCTCTGACTCTTTCTGTGGGGGTGGGAGCAACGGGATTGGCAACGGCAACGGCAATGGGAATGGGGAATGGCATTTGGATGGGAGGGGTGAGGAGCAGCGGATGGCGTAGCTGCGGAACACACGCCACATGTCCAGGAAGAAAGAGGGCGAGTCCTCTGACTCTTTCTGTTCTGCTAACATGCTCACATGTAGAATCAATCTATTGCACTCAGGGGCTCACCTGCACTTCCATCATGGCGTCGACCACAATGGCAATAAGCACGTTGAGCAGCACAAACACCATCACCCCCACGAACGACCATGGTGACAGTGGGTGGGCACATTGGGCATATTGGGCACAATCGCAATCAGTGTCTCACCTGCACTTCCATCATTGCATCGACCACGATAGCAATTAACACGTTGAGCAGCACAAACACCATCACCCCCACGAACGCGATCCAGAACACCATGGCTGCTGCCAGCGGCCACCCCTCCAGCTGTATAAAATAATACCCCGTGGAGTTGTCATTAATCAAAATCAGAAAGCAGGAGACCATGGACATGGCGAGCGTATTGAACTGCTCTAAGGTGCGGCCGAAGACCGCGTAGGCGTAGACGGAGAGGCCGACGAAGACGATGGCCCAGAGGAGCAGGAAGTGGCCCAGGGAGGGGAGCGCTGCTGCCATGGTGCGCGTGAGGATGGAGATGCGCGGCTGGAAGTCCATCAGCTTGAGGAGTCGCAGAGTCATGAGGAAGACGCTGGGGTAATGGGGGACGACGGGAGGGGAAGAGGGTCAGAGGAATCAGAGGAGAAGGGGCAGAACGGATGGGCATTCACAGGGCAGTGAGGACGGAGATGCGTGGCTGAAATTCCATCAGCTTGAGGAGTCGGAGAGTCATGAGGAAGACGCTGAGGGGGAGGGGGGAGGGCACGGGGAGCAGGTGGGATGGGTGTTTAGTGGGCAGTGAGGACGGAGATGCGCGGCTGGAAGTCCATCAGCTTGGGGAGTCGGAGAGTCATGAGGAAGACACTGGGGGGGGGGGAGAGGGGTGTGGAGGAAGAGGAGATGGTCAGCGGAAAGGAAGGGAGATCAGAGGATGGATTATGATTGATTCTTCTTGTGGTGGAGCAGAGAACAAAAGTAAGCTGGTAGAGAGAGGAGGGCCGCAAGCTCGCTTGATAGAGAGTGACACAGCAAGAGCGGGCGAGAGAGTGAAAGGACAGTTTCACAACGAGGCCTGTAGTGGTGGATGTGGTTCTAACATTCAGCTAGAGAGGGAGGAGGGGGGCTCACTTGATGCCCTGCAGAGCCACACAGATGGAGCGCCAGGAGACAATGCGCTCTATCTGATCGTACACGCTCATTGCTGCCACGTACTGTGCTGGGGGGGATAGTACCTTCGAGGGAAGGCAAGGAGGAGGGCACGGGACGAGGGGACAAGAGGTGGGTGACCAAGGGAAGGACCAATGTGGCCAAGGGAAGGACCAATGTGGCCAAGGGAAGGACCAATGTGGCCAAGGGAAGGACCAATGTGCCCTATCTGGTTGTACACACTCATTGCTGCCAGGTACTGCGATGGGGGGGAAACCACCTGTGAGGGGAGGGAAGAGATGGGAGGGCAGGGGAAGGGAAGGGAAAGAAGGGTACAGTGAGGCTGGGGAATGTGCGACTATTGTTGGAGTTAAAAGCATGAATGCAGGGCAGGTGTAGGGCAGGTGCAGGGCAGGTGTAGGGCAGGTGTAGGGCAGGTGTAGGGCAGGTGTAGGGCAGGTGGCATGGCAACGGCAGGGCGTGACTGCCACCCACCTGCCAGGGGAAGGGCGTGACTGCCACCCACCTGCCAGGGGAAGGGCGTGACTGCCACCCACCTGCCAGGGGAAGGGCGTGACTGCCACCCACCTGCCAGGGGAAGGGCGTGTCTCCCAGCGAGGTGTAGATGTTGTAGCGCGCCTGCACTGAGAAGGGCCCCGACAGCTGCACCGCTATTATGAACCTGCACGCAGGGAGCGGGACAGCGGGCACGCGGCAAGAGGCATGGGCGTGGGGCATGAGGGATGGCATACGGTGCAAGGCGCATGGGGCATGAGGGATGGCATACGGTGCAAGGCGCATGGGGCATGAGGGATGGCATACGGTGCAAGGCGCATGGGGCATGAGGGATGGCATACGGTGCAAGGCGCATGGGGCATGAGGGATGGCATACGGTGCAAGGCGCATGGGGCATGAGGGATGGCATACGGTGCAAGGCGCATGGGGCATGAGGGATGGCATACGGTGCAAGGCGCATGGGGCATGTGGTGGACTTTGGCAACTTGAGAGCATGGGGCACATACATGTGGATACAGGGGGCACAACAGCGCATGGCATGACCAAGAGGAAGGGCCGCAGGGATGTGTCCAACGTGACACTTCATCTCCCACACATGCTGACGTGGCGCTCACCACATGATGATGCCGGAGAACTGGATGGTGAGGGAGAGCACGTCCAGCCAGTTCCACAGCGACCGGAAGTATGCCCACACCTGCCATGCCATGCCATGCCATGCCGTGCCATAACAGCCCATGCCATGCCGTGCCATGCCATAACATGCCATGCCATGGGGTGAAAAGCACACGGTATGTAAGGCATACGCACAGAAAGCGGTTGGCAAAGCAGGCGAGTGCTGATACCAAGTGGTCACATCATGCAAGAAGCACAGAGCAGAATTGAGCAGAGCAGAATTGAGCAGAGCAGAATTGAGCAGAGCAGAATTGAGCAGAGCAGAATTGAGCAGAGCAGAATTGAGCAGAGCAGAATTGAGCAGAGCAGAATTGAGCAGAGCAGAATTGAGCAGAGCAGAATTGAGCAGAGCAGAATCAAGCAGAGGAGAGCAAAGGCCCGCCCAATGGCTTCAAGGCGCCCCACAGCTCACCTTGCCGGCTTGCAGCCAGAGTGAGAAGGCCTCCCTTGCCTCCTCGAGCACATTCCACATCACAGCAATGACACACACGGGCGGCACCCCCAGCTGCGCCCACTCGGGCTTTAAGGCAGCCCACCACTCACCTTAGCCGTCTGAACTGCTTGGGCTTTAAGGCTCACCCTGCCTGTCTGAAGCCAGAGTGAGAAGGCCTCTCGTGCCTCCTCGAGCAGGTTCCACATGACAGCAATGACATACACGAGCGTCACCCCCAGCTGCACCCAGTCGCCCTCGGTGCGAAACACCTCCACGTTCACCGGCTCTATCTCGTACCTCACTGCTATCTGCCCCCCCACCTGGAGTGAGTGAGGGAGTGAGCCAGTGAGGGAGCGAGTGAGTGAGTTAGTGAGGGAGTGAGAACACGAGCGTCACCCCCAGCTGCACCCAGTCGCCCTCGGTGCGAAACACCTCCACGTTGACCGGCTCTATCTCGTACCTCACTGCTATCTGCCCCCCCACCTGGAGTGAGTGAGGGAGTGAGCCAGTGAGGGAGTGAGTGAGTGAGTTAGTGAGTGAGGGAGTGAGAACACGAGCGTCACCCCCAGCTGCACCCAGTCGCCCTCGGTGCGAAACACCTCCACGTTGACGGGTTCGATCTCGTACTTCATTGCTATCTGCCCCCCCACCTGGTGACGAGTGAGGGAGGGAGTGAGGGAGTGAGTGAGGTGCTGAGGGGGGGAGTGAGGAATGCTCCCCTCCGTGCGAAAATCTTCCACGTTTACCGGCTCTATCTCATGGATCACTGCTCTCTGCTCGCCTGGTGGGTGAGTGAGTTAGTGAGTGAGGGGGTGGGAGAGTGTGCGTGTGCACAAGATAGGGACCCCACAGATGTGTGGCAGCACGACACGAATGAGAGCAAAGAGGTAGCAGAGGGTTAGAGGGAAGAGCATAGGAGGGCGCACCTGGCAGGGGGAGGGCGCACCTGGCAGGGGGAGGGCGCACCTGGCAGATGAAGCGCACTCGAGTGAGCACAAAGAGATGGCTCTCCCCTGCACATGGCACGGCATGGCACAACACCGGCAGGGCAGCAACAGGGAGGGGACAGAGGGCAAGTGGGGAAACCGGGGTGAGCAGAGGTCAGCCGGGGGAGGACCGAAACAGATGTCAGTCCTGTGACATGACACGTCAGCATGATAACATGGCGAAAGCACAAAGGGCGAGCGGCGGTTACCGTTGTAGGTGAGCATCTGGGCGGTGATGGTGCGGGTGGCATTGTCGATAAAGAAGCCGTCCACGAGGTACTGCAGCCGGGCGGCAGCCGCCCCGCTGTCCAGATTCACGTCAAATAGGACGGGGAACGCCGCCTTGTCCGGCTGCACGGGAGCGAAACCGTACGGCACACTGTGGTTCTGAAACGCTCTCAGCTCGGCGGAATTCAGAGGTGCTACAGTGCCGCCGGTTGCTGATTGGCTGACAGCACTGCTGCTGCCGCCCGGAACGGAGGAGTCTGATTGGCCGTCAAGGGGCGGCAGGGATTGGTTGGTGGCTGCAGCGAGGGCGGCTGCAGCGTCAGGGTCGTAGAGGGAGGAGGAGGGGAGGAATGCCGGGTTGATCCCGAATGGGTGCTTGGACGTGCTGTTGGCACAGTAAGGAAAGAGGCTCAAGAATCTGCGGGGAAGGGGAGTGGAGGAATGGGCAGGGAGGGATGGGGGAGGAGGGAGTGGGGGAGAAGTGGCCAGGATTGTGAGAAACGAGCGGGTGGTGCAGAGAGGGGGGTGAACAGGCATGGCATGGTGTGGAAGGTGTGAGCCGTCACGACACATGTGGTGGAGGGGACACATCATCTTCTCTTCTCTCACCTGGAGGGGCGGCATGGGCCGCCGTCTGCCCGGGTCTGCTCCAGAAAGAGGCCGATGAGCAGGCGGTTGCGCTCTGCCGCTACGTACCGCGCCTGCGCCACCTGCTGCCTCTCCGCCACCAGCTTTCCCAGCGGTGACGTTGCCACACCGCCCGCTGTGCTGCTTGCTGTGTTGCTCGCTGTGCTGCTTGCTGTGTTGTTCGCTGTGGCGTCGCTGGGTGTAGTAGTGTTGGTGGTGACGGTGCCGTTGGGGGATGAGTCAGGGGTAATGCTGCTGCTGGTGCCCGCGGCAGCAGCAGCAGGGACGGAGAAGGGGAAGCGGAGGCGGGGACCAACGTCCTTCATGAGGCAGCACGCTGGGAGGGCATGCCGGGACGTGTGGGGGGGGGGGGGGAGGGGAAGAGATGAGGATGTATGTGTGAGGGGTGTGAGCAGGCAGCGGTGTGGCATGAGTCATATACAGCATGGTTTTGTGCAAGTGAGGTACTGGTAGGGTTCAGGTGGGATGGTCGTGGGTCCTGGTGTGTGCAGCACTCACAGCCCTGGTTGGAGCGCATTTGCCCCAGTGGGCACGAGCAAGAGGTAGGAGCAGAGGCCACGGCAGCAGGGAGCGAGCGAGGGGGCCGCGCGCACGCACAGTCACCCCCGTCAAAGGCACATGCGTCCACGTGGCACGCGCTGTGGCACAACCCGTCGCCCAGCATGCTCAGCGCACAGCCTGGCGCACACTGCACTGCCAGGGGCGCTGAGATCACTGCCGCTGCTGCCGAGACAGCAGCAGTAGGTGGAGCAGAGGGAGCAGATGGGGCAGATGGGGAAGGGGAGGCTGCATCTGTTTCTGCGACAGCTGATGGTTCTGCTGCACCCACGGATGCCACAGCGGCAGCAAGGGTGGCGGCGGTGGGCGATTGGGAGGAGGAGGCGGTAGAGGCGGCAGGGGCAGGCAGCACGGAGAGGAGGCCGACCATGAGGCGGCCGGTGCGCGTGCAGTGGTAGCGGTAGGTGCCGGGGGCCAGCAGCACTGCTGACACTGAGAAGACTGAAGGGTCGCCAGGGATGGCTGTGAGCGTGGGGAGAAAAAGGAGTGGAGTTTGGGGGAAGTGGGTGGGGACCGAGAGAGTGGCGAGATGTTTGCAGCATACACTCTGAGAGGGCAGGGGCAAAGATCGGCTCGACTTGGAACCAGGGGGAGTATGGGGAGTGCGAGCAGAGCAGGGGCTTACAGAGGGAGCAGGGCAAGGGGACGTGTGCGGCCCACAGCAGGTGCACAGCAGCAGTGGCACGCTCTGAGTCGTCGGCAGCAGCAGGCAGAGTGCCCACGTTGTCACTTGCACACTCCGTGCCTGCCGCCACCACCAGCTGCCCTGTGCCAAAGCCGTGCCATGGGGCTGCGTGGGCCGCGCTTGGGTCGGTCACTGGGGGGGATGGAGGGAGCGGAAGAGGGAAGGGGTGAGAGAATGGGGACAGAGACGGGTGAGGGAGTGCACCCATGTTGACGTTCGCGCACTCGCTGCCTGCCGCCACCGCCAGCTGCCCTGTGCCAAAGCCGTGCCATGGGGCTGGCTGGGCTGCGCTTGGGTCGGTCACTGGAGGTTCAAGGGAGAAGAAGGAAGAGAGGAGAGGAATGAGGGTTGATGGAGAAGGTAGATCAAGGGAATACAGAAGTCCTCACACTCCCAGCAGTTTCTCACACTCCCAGCAGTTTCTCACACTCCCAGCAGTTTCTCACACTCCCAGCAGTTTCTCACACTCTCACACCACACCTACAGCAGTCCCTCACAACCCCCCCAACACAACACCCAGCAAGCAAGTACCCATGGCACCCAAGGCAAGCAGCACAAGGCACGTACACGTGAGCGCATGAGGCAGCCCATCGGCCCACAGCCATGTGACCTTGTCCCCCACGGCCACCGTCGTGTTGAGCACCACTCCCGGCGCCCACAGCAGCGTGGGGCCCACCGCGTTCCCACAAGGCGGCAGGGAGGGGAGCACGGCGGCCGGGTCGAGGGCGTGGAGGAGACGGGAGAGGGCGGCGAGGCGGGAGGGGGGGAGGGCAAGCAGGGAGTGGAGAGCTGCGAGCAGCATGGCTGTGAAGCGCGCCTGCTGCGTGTGGGATAGGGGCGTTGGGATGCCACTGGCGGGAGGAGGCAGGGGAGTGGGGGAGGGAGAAGGGGGAGAGGAGGTGTGGGGGAGGGGTCGAGGTGGAAAAGATGTGTGGCACGTTGGCGACATGCGTGCTGCCTTGTCTTCCATCCCCCAACCCCCATTCCCCATCCCCCACCCCACATCACCCATCCAAAAAGTTCCCCCCACTCACTTGGCATGGGCCCAGGGCACATCAGTGCTGAGCTGCTGCAGCGTCACCAGCTGCCGCCCAGAAGCATGGTGCGTGTAGTTGCACCCCTGCACTCGCTGAGCCGCCTGCTCGCCGCCCATCAGCGAGCACAAAAACGCCACTAGACGCAGCCGGGCGGCAGGGGCGAGCAGGGCGGGCGCAGAGGATTGGGCGGCAGAGGGGAGGGGTGGCTGGAACGGGGCAGCAAAGACGAGACAGCTGTCCTTGACAGCTGTGTAGAGCGCACGGGCGACTGCCACGTGGCAGTTCTGGATTCGCTGCTGGTCGGAGGAACCGAGGGCCTCCCAGAGGGTGTCGTCAGCTACGCCTGCAGGCGAAGTGGGGGAGGGGAGAGGAGGGGGGAAAGGAAAGGGGAGGGCAGGGTATGGGGGAAGGTGAGGTGGATGAAGAGGAGAGCAATGAGGGAAAGAAACGGAGAGAGGTTGGGCAGGGAGGGGCTGGAGGACGTGAGAAGGGCTGGGTAGATTTTTGAGGTAACAGAAGTTAAAGAGGAAGGACATGACACACGCAGCAGGTGGGAAGCGTGTTAGGGAGCAAGAGCAGGAGGGGGAGCCGAAGAGGGAATAAGGTAGAGGCAGAGGAGCAAAGAAGCGCACCAGCAGTGGGGGTAACTGCAGGGGCGGCGGCAGCAGCAGCATCAGAAGCAGAAGCAGCGTAATAAGCAGCATCAGTTGCGGGTGCTACAGGCAGGCCCGCATTCTTCTGCTGCAGCATCTGCAAGGGCGGCATCACAGCACTCTGATGCGGCACTCTGCTGGTGCCCACCCTGCTGTCCTGCTGGCCCATGCGGATGGTAGTGGCTGTAGTGGTTGTAGGGAAAGGGTTCCTCCTGGGGTTTAGCACAGGGCGGGAGGATTGTTGGGGGAGAATGGGGGAGCAAAGGGCGGAGAATGGAGGAGCAAAGGAGGGGATTTGAGGAGCGAAGGGAGGAGAATGGGGGAGCAAAGGGAGGCGATGAAGAGAGAGAAGAGGAGATATGGGAGGAAGTGCGCGGTGGGAGAGGGCACAGGGCAGGTGCGTGGTGTCAGAGGAGGGCAGGTGAGCAGGTGAGCAGGTGAGCAGGTGAGCAGGTGAGCAGGTGAGCAGGTGAGCAGGTGCGCAGGTGAGCATTGGGAAGAATCGTTTCAGTGCCTCGGCATGGGACAGGGGAGGGCACGAGGCGGATGGGTGGCACACGCCGCAGAGTCAGCGGATGCTGCAAAGGGGAGGAAGCCGTGCTTGTCCACACCTTGGCTAGTCTTCTGGCGCCTGCAGCTGTAGCAGCGGATGCAGCTGTAGCAGCGGATGCAGCTGTAGCAGCGGATGCAGCTGTAGCAGCGGATGCAGCTGTAGCAGCGGATGCAGCTGTAGCAGCGGATGCAGCTGTAGCAGCGGATGCAGCTGTAGCAGCGGATGCAGCTGTAGCAGCGGATGCAGCTGTAGCAGCGGATGCAGCTGTAGCAGCGGATGCGGCTGTAGCAGCGGATGCGGCTGTAGCAGCAGAGGCGGCTGTAGCAGCGGATGCAGCTGTAGCAGCGGATGCAGCTGTAGCAGCGGATGCAGCTGTAGCAGCGGATGCAGCTGTAGCAGCGGATGCAGCTGTAGCAGCGGATGCAGCTGTAGCAGCGGATGCAGCTGTAGCAGCGGATGCAGCTGTAGCAGCGGATGCGGCTGTAGCAGCGGATGCGGCTGTAGCAGCAGAGGCGGCTGTAGCAGCAGCGGAGGCGCCGGCACAGAGGTAGGTTGAGAAGTCCGGTGGCAGGGCTCCAAGGGCCTGGTGGGATGCGATGCGACGTGAGAGGGCGGAGAGAGAACAAGATACGCACGCACAGGCACATGAATAGCCAGACCAGAAGGCCCTCCCGAGGGTGCCTCTTGGACATCAGCGCGCTACTGCGCCCCTCCGTCACAAAGGCTCTGTGCAGGAGCACACGGAAGACACATACAGGGAGGACGCCAGGCGCGGGGCAGTGCAAGGCGGAGAGACGGGTGGCTGCAGGCAGCATTGCAGATCCTTGTAGGAACAAGAAGGGGGCTGTGGGGGAGGACGGTCAGCGTGTGCACAAGGCAGCATAGCAGGCGGCAACGCAGGGTGTGTCAGGGCCCAGAGCAGAGGCCAGAGGATTCAGTTAAGCATTGCTGGTGGGCGGTGAATTGGAGGGAGTACCTGTGTGCAGGTGAGGTTGTGGGCGGGGACGGGCGGTGTGTGTGACGGGTCGTTGCAGGCGGCAGCACAGTCGACAAAGACGGCCGCGAGCACACGAGGAGAGAGCCGGTCGGGGCACGCCTCGAGCACACAGCGTGCCAACACCGCACACGCCTACAATGGATAGTGGGAGATGGTTGGAGGGAAGTTGGGGCGATTTCTGAGGCATGTTAAAAACCAACACGGCACCGCACATGCCTGCAGGGATGGTGGAAAATGGGGCGAACTCGAAAGCGCGTAGAAATAACAACATGGCATGTGCGTGGGGGGGGAAGGGTTGGTGGGAGAAAGTTGTGGGGGGGAGATTGGGTTGGGGCAAGTCAGGAGTTGGGCGCTGGAACAACGAAGACAACAAGGAGACAGCAGAGAGAGAGGGACTCACAGATCGGCAGCGCGTGAGCGGCGAAGTGGTGGCCTCTTGACAGCCGCCCCACTGGGCTATGGGCTGAGGGGAGGACGAGGATGATGATGATGATGAGGAGGAGGAGGAGGAGGAGGAGGAGGAGGAGGAGGAGGAGGAGAAGGAGGAGTCAGAAGAGCCAAAGTAAGCAGGCGAGTCGATGGGCAGGTCAGCAGATTGAGAAGATTGAGCAGCAGGGTAGACGAGGCCAGTGACGCCTCCAAAGGGCGCAGAGAGCACCACCTCCCAGTCGCCCTCCGGCACCCACAGTGTCTGCTCCCACTCCGCCGCCACCTGAGAAAACACCTGAGGCGCCTCGTACCTGTGGCATGGATGGAAGGGGTTGTGGTGGGTTTGAGAGGGTAACGGGAGGTGAGGAGGGGTGTGAGGCGATTAGATGCGGTGGAGAGTTGACTGGGACATCAGGCATGACCTCACTACCACATTGGGGGAGGGGAAGAGGGGGAGGGGGGGGTCTATTGGACTTGAACACTCTAGGGAGCGAGGGTGGAGGGTACAAGGTGTCTTTTGGCACTCACCAGCAGAGGGAGGGCAGGCCCTTGCACTCACCAGCAGAGGGAGGGCAGGCCCTGGGGGCAGAGGTTCCAGGAGGAGGCTTGGGCGTATTCAAGCGAGGCGAAGGAGGAGGAGAGGCGCAGCGTGAGCGGGCGCAGGGACGGCAGCACCCCGCAGTCCGCCTCACAGCCAAAGCGGCCGAAGGCTGGGAACTCCAAGGGGCGCTCGCATACCCCATTGCCACAAGGGGGGTCCTTCCAGACCACCTGGGAGCGAGAAGGGTAGGAGGGAAGGAGAATATGCGCAGACAGAACAGTCCGCCTCGCATCCGAAGCGGCCCGGCCAATGGGACGAGTTTTGAGGCACCTAAAAAATCGACACAATGAATGCATGAAAGAGACAAGAGCGGCACACCTGGTGATGGGGGTACCTGGAGAGGAGAGTAGAACCTTGGGGGGGGGGGAGCACCTGGAGTGGAGCACCTGGAGGGGAGCACCTGGAGGGGAGCACCTGGAGGGGAGCACCTGGAGGGGAGCACCTGGAGAATGGTGTCGTTGAGCCAGGTGTAGAAGTCGTCTGGTCCACTCAGCGTGTTGGTCACTGCCCCTGACACTCCCTGCAGCCATCACACGGGGGAGAGGAGGCACTGACGAGGCTTGACCTGAGACGGCTCAACACTCAGCGAGCTAGGTTGGTCACCACACCCACACGCCCATGCCTCACCCATACGCCCCACCCATACACCCTCAGCCACACGCCCCTGCACCCGTACGTACCCCACTCACAAGACCCATACCCTGGAACCATGCCTCCCCCACCCACATGCCCAGGCACTCACGGGCGGCAGCAGGATGTTGTGCGAGGTGGCGACCTCATAATTGCGGGAGGAGTCGGCTTGCAGGTAGAGCACGGTGAGATAGAGGCACGTGTAGAGCGAGAAGGCGAGCAGGTTCTTGAAGTTCTCCGTCAGCCACTGCATGTGTGTCACTGACTCGTACATGGCTGGGCAGAGGAGGGGGGAGGGGCGGGTGAGGAAGGGCAGAAGGAGAGGAGACAGGGAGAAAGGAGAGGGGCGGGCGGAGAGGAGGGTAGACATGGCGAGAAGGCCACTGCATGTGCGTCACTGACTCGTACATGGCTGGGAGGGGTGGCGGGAGGAGGGGAGTAGGGGAGACGAAGGTGGGGAACGGGGGTTGGGAGGAGGGGAGTAGGGGAGACGAAGGTGGGGAACAGGGGTTGGGAGGAGAGGAGTAGGGGAGACGAAGGTGGGGAACAGGGGTTGGGAGGAGGGGAGTAGGGGAGACGAAGGTGGGGAACAGGGGTTGGGAGGAGAGGAGTAGGGGAGACGAAGGTGGGGAACAGGGGTTGGGAGGAGGGGAGTAGGGGAGACGAAGGTGGGGAACAGGGGTTGGGAGGAGAGGAGTAGGGGAGACGAAGGTGGGGAACAAGGGTTGGGAGGAGGGGAGTAGGGGAGACGAAGGTGGGGAACAGGGGTTGGGAGGAGAGGAATAGGGGAGACGAAGGTGGGGAACAGGGGTTGGGAGGAGGGGAGTAGGGGAGACGAAGGTGGGGAACAGGGGTTGGGAGGAGAGGAGTAGGGGAGACGAAGGTGGGGAACAGGGGTTGGGAGGAGGGGAGACGAAGGCGAGGCGAGCAGGTTCTTGAAGTTCCCCGTCAGCCACTGCATGTGCGTCACTGAGTCGTACATGGCTGGGAGGGACGGGGAAGAGAGTTGGAGTGGGGAAGAGGTAAGAGGAAGGGAGGAGAGTGCAGCGTTTTGTGAGCTATTGTATGTGTGTTTATGCATCGTGCATGGCAACAAGACAGTGTGGTGAGTGCGGGGTGGGAGAAGACAGTGTGGTGAGTGCGGGGTGGGAGAAGACAGTGTGGTAGGTGCGGGGTGGGAGAAGACAGTGTGGTAGGTGCGGGGTGGGAGAAGACAGTGTGGTGGACGCATTGGGAAGACGAGCAGTTGGAGGGAGGATGAAACACAGGGGAGGAAGGGAAGGAAAATTGAGAATCATAAAGTGATTGGCGGGCCACTGCACGTGCGTCACCACCTTGCACCGCCTTGCACCACCACCTCCCACCTTGCATCACTTCCCTGCACCGTATCCACCTTGCACCGCATCCACCTTGCACCACGTCCACCTTGCACCGCATCCACCTTGCACCGCATCCACATTGCACCGCATCCCACCTTGCACCGCATCCACATTGCACCGCATCCACCTTGCACCGCATCCCACCTTGCACCGCATCCCACCTTGCACCGCATCCCACCTTGCACCGCATCCCACCTTGCACCGCATCCCACCTTGCACCGCATCCCACCTTGCACCGCATCCCACCTTGCACCGCATCCCACCTTGCACCGCATCCACATTGCACCGCATCCACCTTGCACCGCATCCCACCTTGCACCGCATCCCACCTTGCACCGCATCCCACCTTGCACCGCATCCCACCTTGCACCGCATCCCACCTTGCACCGCATCCCACCTTGCACAACCTCCTTGTCCAACAGAAACTGCTCGGAAGCATCCTCGTCCAGCTCCTCCCCATCCGCCCCGCGTCCCTCCCACTGCTTGCCTCGCCCGCCGCCCGTGCTGCTCCCACTGCTCTCACTCGCACGGAACACCCCCCTCCCTCGCCGCTCCCCGTTCATATCTGCTGCTGCAAACGCTGCTTCCACACGACTGGCTCTCAACTCGTCCGGAATTTCGAGGAATCCGATTGGTTTGTCTTTGTCCACGTCATCAGCCCCCATGCCATCCTCGTCGTGCTCCCCTGCAGCGTCGAGCGCAAGCGTGAGTTTCGTTCGCTGATCCAAACGCGGCGGAGGCTCGGCCCGAGCCTCATGCAGAGGTTCGGCACCGTCCATGTCCTGGGACAGATTGGAGCCAAAGTCGTCGAACCGGACGTGCGGAGTCAAGCCTGTACTCGCCGAGCCTACATCCACCTCCCGGAGCCAGCTCGGTAGGCCCGGCGGAGGCTCGGAAGCGGCAGCGGTGGCAGCGGCGACGGTAGGGTCGGCAATGAGTGGCTCGTTCATGAGCCTGTCCTCCAAAGCTGCAGCGTCAAATGCGGAGCCATGGTTGCTTTGGGAGCTGTCGTGGAGTAAGTGTGGGGGAGAGGAAGAGGGAAGGGGAGGGGAGAGAGGGAGGGAGGCAGGCAGAAGGTGGGAAGGGGGCAGAGGCTTGGGGAGCAGCTTAGGGTAATGGAGCGGGTTCAGAGCGAAAGAAGGGGATGGGCAACGGAGAAGAGGAGTGGGGCATGCGGAGAGGAAGAGTGGCAGGTGGAGGAGGAGAGAGCGAGCGGCCATACTTGTACTCGTACTCGTGCGACCACCCGAGCCACCATCCGAACCAACCCCCCCAGCCGCTAGAACTGGTGCTACGGTTCCTACCCTAATGTGTGGGTGCCGGGGTCAACACGCAATTCTGACTTTTGAGACGTCTCAAAACTCGTACCAAGGTTCGTACCCTGGTGTGTGGGTGCCGGAGTCACCACGCAATTCTGTGCCCCATCGCGCACTGCGCTGCCCGTTGCCCTCCTCCGTCCACTGCTCCGTTATAGGCTCCAACTCGATATTGCTCTCGCGGCCCGTGCCGTGCGGCAGCCATCGCGACATGGACAGCAGCGCCGGCGCCATAACACCCTCCGCGCCGCCGCCATTACCGCGACAATCCAATTCCGCGCCGCGACTTCCAAACTCCTCCCCGCCGTTCCCTTTCGTGGCCGCTGCCGCCGGCGCCGCAGCCGGCGCGGCTCGCCGCTCCCACCCCAGCAGGCGGTACCAGAACGGCCGTTCCGCATCCGCCGCGCCCGTCCCCTGCGCGCCGTCGTCGGCGCTGCTGCCTCCCAGCCATCGCCACACTTTACTCTCCGCCGACGCGCCTTCGGACTCATCCGCGGATGCCCAGTCTTGCGGGCCGGCGCTCTCCCTCCGCTGCTGCTGCGCGTCGCGATACTCCGCATTACGCGGCCGTCCGTCGACGACCCTCGGTGAATACCCTGAGCGATACGATTGGTTGGAACGCGGAGACGGCGGTTCGAAACCAGGCGACCGGTCACCGTACGGGCTGCGACCGTTTCTGCGACGTCGTTCGCCGGGAGTATCGGAGCCATCCTGCGACCGGCCGCGATGGAATGACTGACTAGGCAACAACTGAGGGGGCTTACGGCCTTGCCGCGAAACGCGGGAGTGCTGTCGAACCACAGAAGCGATCTCCGCCATCAGTCCGACTGGAGTAATGATAAATTTCGGCTACATCGACCGCGAAGGTTGCTGCACGACCCTAAAAATACAAGCTAGAATGGGAACGAGACGCTACTGCGGTGCGGTGAGGCTGTAGGCACAAGAAATAGGCAATCCAGCAAAAGCGGCTTGGCCTAGTTCGGAAGGCGCTCGGACTCAGCAAGAACATGCGAGCTGGTTCGCCCTGGCATGCTGCGGACCAGACGGACTAGTCCGCAGACAACATTTGGAACGAGGGCGGACTGGCCGATTCCTTAGACCCTCTCGACGATCGGGAGAAATCTGTCAATCGCGATCGACGAACAGATCTCGCGGGGCGGGGCACGGCAAATGTACTTCGCATCACCATGCGCGAAAATCACGGTGGAGTTAGAGACTTCGCAAAAATGTGCGAGCTTGTTCAGGCGCGGACTGGTCTGGCAATTGCACCATTAGGATATAGCGGGGTTACAAGTCCCGCATCCTGGTCGTGTCCGCCGCTGGTTCACGCGGTGGTTCTTGCGCTGGCTCTCCAGGTCCGCGCCGGACCAGCGCAGACTCGTGCATTTGAGACACCCACTCACGAAATAAAAAGTTCTTGTGACGCGGTAACCTGCATTCCAGAGTAACAACAGCACATTTCAACCATTGTTAGACAAAAGTAAGATAACATAAGGGTTATTACACATTTAGTCATTATCGAAAGTTGAAACTCCTTGAGCCACTATGAAGAAACTTGGGTTTTGAGTCGAGCACACACTGTCGCTGCGGCCATTTTCAGGTGCATGCAACTCAGTCTAGGAACTGTATTCAAGTGCATGCCATGTTATTCGGCAGGTGTGTACACTTTACGTAGCTTAGAAACGTGTTATCTTAAATGACGCGCTTTCCAAGATTCGTTTTGAGTTACCACAAACAGTCGAGAATAGATGTGCTTTCGGGTTACGCAGAGCGAAAACGGAATGGTTGGCTCTCGATTCTGCATTTTCTGACCTCACCACAATCAATCATTGCATATTTGCCCAATTTCGACGCAAATTTCTGCTTCGCCCCAACTCTTCTTGAAAGACTTAAATGCTAGATCAGTTTTACTGTTGACGCGGGTAACGGACGCTGCGCATGGCAAATCAACAAATTTTTCTTGGGCGTGCAGAAATTTGAAAAGGGTAAACCCACATATGAAAAGTCTGCCCAACTGTTTGTAAAATCTACTCCTACAAAAAAAAATGTTCATATGGTACATGCATATTCTATTTGTTGTGATTGTCAAGCTTATATGCTATATTCTGTGTAGGCTGTAGTGGGGTAGACAATATGGGGTACAACACTTTTAGGTTTTCCTACTTGTACCCACCTGTTTCCTAGTGCACACATTCCTCGTTCTTTCACATGGTATAGAGCAGGTTCCCTAGTGGGAACGTTTCCTAGGGCCCACCGAATATCGATTTTTTTTCCTGCCCGGAGCGCGCTTCGCCCCTGCCTGAGTCGCGCCCCATGTGCCTACCCTCCCGTCGCGTCCCCTGCCCTTAGTGGCCCGTCGCGCTCCCTTACGGCCCCTCTCACGGCCCTCTCACGGCCTCTCACGGCCCCTCTCACGGCCCTTCGCGGTGTCAGAACATTATAGCTTACTAATTTGTGTAGGCTATAGTGGGATATCCCATAAGGGGTACAATCCCATTAGGGTTTCCTATTTGTACCCACTTCATTCATAGTCATTTCATTCTCGTTCTATTCTTCTCATGGTATCGAGCAGGTTCCCCTGTGGGAACTGTGCTTAGGGCCCACCACTACTTCAACTTTTTTTTCTGCCCGGAGCGCGCTCCAGGCTCTCTCTTTCACGCCCGCGCGCCGCCCGTTCCGGCCATTAGCCGCCCGTGCGCCGCCCTTTGCAGCCCGCGCGCCGCCCTTAGCAGCCCGCGCGCCGCCCTTCGCAGCCCGCACGCCGCCCTAGAGCCAGCGCGCCGCCCTACGCAGCCCGCGCGCCGCCTTACGCAGCCCGCGCGCCGCCCTAGAACCCGCGCGCCGCCCTACACAGCCCGCGCGCCGCTCGCCAGGCCCTAGGCCGCCCGCGCGCCATCCGCGCGCCGCCCTTAGCCGCCCGCGTGCTGCCCGCCAGGCCCAAGGCCGTCCACGTGCCGCCCGTGCGCCGCCCTCAGCCGCCTGGCCCGCCGCCCGTGAACCGCCCGTGACCCACCCGTGGGCCGCCCGTGAGCCGCCCGTGCGCCGCCCTCAGCCGCCCGTGAGCCGCCCGTGCGCCGCCCTCAGCCGCCCGTGAGCCGACCGTGCGCCGCCCTCAGCCGCCCGTGAGCCGCCCGTGCGCCGCCCGTCAGCCGCCTTCAGCCGCCCGTGAGCCGCCCGTGACCTCTCGTGCGCCGCCCGTGAGCAGCCCGTGAGCCGCCCGTGCGCCACCAGTGAGCCGCCCGTGAGCCGCCCGCCAGCAGCCTGTGAGCCGCCCGTGAGCCGCCCTTCAGCCACCCGTGAGCCGCCCGCGAGCCGCCCGTCACGACGCCCGAGCCGCCCGTGCCACCCGCGTCACCCGAGCCGCCTGCGCAGCTGAGGAGCCGAGCCGCCCGAGCAGCTCGAGCTGCAGAGCCGCCCGGGTCGCCTGTGCCGCTGAGCGCCCGAGCCGCCCGAGCCGCCCGAGCCGCCAGAGCCGCCCGAGCCGCCCGAGCCACCAGAGCCGCCCGAGCCGCCCGAGCCGCCCGAGCCGCCCGAGGAGCCGAGCCACTGGTGCCGAGGTGCTGCTGTTGCTGCTGGGCCGGCCGAGCAGCCGTGTTTGCTGTGCTACTGTGCTCCCCTGACCCGTCCTGTCTGGTGAGATCGCCGGTTGCAGTCATGGCTACCCCTAGTGTCCTAGCTTTTAACGCTGAGGGTCGTGCCATTGACTTTGAGGTCTGGCTCGACGACCTGCAGCTGTTCTTACAGTGCGATAGGGCAGACGGTCTTTCTCTCTTTGACCTCACCTCTGGCGCCGTCCCTGCCCCTGCTGCTGATGCTGACGCCACTGTTCGCTCCCAGTGGGCCACGCGCGATGCTGCTGCACGTCTTGCTGTGCGTCGCCACCTGCCTACCGCTGAGCGCGCGCACTTTAGCCAGTACAAGAGTGCCCAGACCTTGTACGACGCTGTAGTTGCGCGCTACTCCTCCCCTGCCACTGCTGCACTGAGCCGCCTCATGCTCCCCTTCCTCTTCCCTGACCTTGCCGCCTTTCCCACTGTCGCTGACCTCATTACGCACCTCCACACTAGTGACACTCGCTACCGCGCTGCGCTTCCTGCTGACTTCTGCGCCAAGAACCCCCCCCCCATGTACATCACTCTCTACTTTTTAGTCACTCGCCTCCCTGACTCCCTTCGTGTAGTTCGGGACCACTTCCTCGCGGTCTGTCCCACCACCCTCACAGTCGACAGCCTCGAGAAGGCCCTCCTAGCGGCGGAGAAGAGCATAGTCGCTGTAGGAGCCTCTCGAGGTGGCCCCCGCGCCCCCATCTTTGAGGGGTGTTCTCCTTCCCCTCTCCTGCCCTCTGTCGCCTCTGCCGCTGCGGCCGACCTCGTTGGTCTTGAGTCGGTCGGTGCGGCGTCTGCCCCTAGCGGGAGACGCCGCTCTGGCAAGGGCAAGGGGGGCAAGGGAGCGGGTGGGGCCAGCAGGGGGCGGTGGAGGTGGCGGTGGAGGCGGCGGAGGGAGTGGGGGTGGCGGTGGAGGTGGTGGCGGGGGTGGGGGTGCTAGTGGCGGCAGTGGGGGCGGGGGTGGCGGCGGCGGTGGCGGTGGGAGCGGAGGTGGCGGAGGCGGCGGCGGTGGAGGCGGAGGCGGGGGTGGCGGTGGCGGTGGCGGTGGTGGAGGTGGTCGGAGTGGCGCTTCGCAGCGGAGCAGCACTGGGGGTGGTCAGCGCCAGCAGCAGCAGCAGCAGCGTTCTCGCGACCTCCCGACGCCTAAGCAGCTCCGTGAGTGGTACACCCAGCGTCAGCGTGGTGGGGGTTTTGGTCCCTGCACCTACGTCCTTCGCACTGGCGACCGTGCTGGAGAGCAGTGTGGGGGTACCCACACCGCCCAGCGCTGCTTTGGCCGCCTGACGGACGCTTGGCGTCAGCAGTTCCCGGAGGCCGCGGAGATCCCCCGTTGGGGAGAGCTGTCTCGGGCTGGTGTAGCTATCTTTGATCTTGACTTTGATGCTATCCTTGCTTCCATGTATGCTGTGACCATTAGTGATGAGGGTGACTGTTACCGGTGTTTCCCGCCCGACCCTGGGCATTGGTACTGCTGCTCTAGGTGTCAGTGAGGCTTCTGCTCTAGGTGCCAGTGCGTCTGTGCTCTCAGGTACTGGTGAGGCTGCTCTCTCAGGTACTAGTGAGTCTGCGCCCTCAGGTACTGCGTCGGCCTCGGCCTCCCACACCTTC